GGCTGGGGGAGAGGGGAAAGTGGGTGATGGGCACTGAGGAGGGCACCTGTTGGGATGAGCACTGGGTGTTGTATGGAAACCAATTTGACAATAAATTATATTTAATATAAAAATAAATACATAAATGCTAAAAAAAAATAAAAAATAAAAAGAAAGATTCGATTATTTTTATTTTATCGTACTTGGCAAAGCAGGTATATGGCTCATATATTTTAGAAAGATTCTGAACATTATAAAAAATGTGTTTCATGAAAAATTAAAAAAAATTCTAGCAGTTCTTGTTTCTTTTTTTTATTTTTAAAAAAATTTTTTTTTCATTGTTTATTTATTTTTGGGACAGAGAGAGACAGAGCATGAACGGGGGAGGGGCAGAGAGAGAGGGAGACACAGAATCGGAAACAGGCTCCAGGCTCTGAGCCATCAGCCCAGAGCCCGACGCGGGGCTCGAACTCACAGACCGCGAGATCGTGACCTGGCTGAAGTCGGACGCTTAACCAACTGCGCCACCCAGGCGCCCCAAGCAGTTCTTGTTTCTTATCATACTCATTAGCTAAAATAATACCAACTCATTGTTCACAAATGTATGTGATATAGGATACAATTTCATCTTAAGTGAATCATACCTAATTAATAAATGCAACAATAACACCTTTATCAGTTAGCAAATACATTATGGTTACTATGTGCCACAGTAAACGCTCTGCACATAACTCATTTTAATCATCATACATAAGGGATACACTATTATGATCTCCATTTTACAGATAAGAAAACTAAGGCACCAAGAGATTAGTTAACCAAAGATCTCAGAGGTCCTACCTATTGGAACTGGAGTTCAAATCCAAGATGTCTGGCTCTTCACTAAGCTACGCACTTGCTCAGTTAGTGGACAATTTTCTCAAGTCTAATTCTATTGAGATGAAATGAGAATCCTCATTCAATAACCCGTAACCAAAGTCAAAATAGTGATGATGGATAAAAACTAGAAATAAGGATTCTGGGACCGTATCTTCTCTCCCCTCAAACTATCTTCACGTGAGATGCTCAAGTAGCTTAACTCTTTGTACCTCAATTAATTATCCACACCTCCCTTCCTTAAAGTTTCTCCAACTCCTCTCCGCAAATTGGCTCCTTTCTTTCAGAACATAAATATCCTCAGGTCTCTCCTATCTTCAATGGGGAAGAAGAGAGTAGGGAGTCAGAAAGATGGCCTTTGAACCTTTTGCTTTCTAACTAGATCCATTATTTCTTTCTTTCACGGTTGCCTCCAGTATTTATTTATTCAATTGACCACTGCAGTCTAGATTCCACCCATACACAGAAGCCTACAGACACTGGACTTTCTATTCTGTTCCACTATCCTGAATGTCTCTTAAGAAATTTTTTTTATGAGAACTATAAATGAAAAAAAAAATCTCCCTGCCCTCTTTCAAACAGTTTACAAGGCTGTTGTGATTTCCAGGGCTGTTTCTAAACATCTTTTCTTTCATATTATACATGTCCTCCCTGATCTGACCTCTGCCTATCCACTCATCCTCATGCCCTACTATTCTCACCCACATACCACCAATTAATGACTTTTCTGACATTTTCCAAATTTGCCGGGTAAGACCTCAACCCTTACCCATCCTTCATGTCTCAGTTCGAACAACAAGACCTCTACTAAGTGTTCTCTGAATGTCAGTTTCCACCAGTGTAAGTGGGGAATAATATCTTCCGCATACAACTATCAAGAAAATTAAATGAGACTGTATGTCACGATTACCCAGCAAGCAGACTAGAACTATCTCCCCTTGGTGTTTGTGCCCCATGCGATTGTTTGCTTTTTGTTTCTACTGGTCACCACACTGTGACTGGAGGTTCACCGCAGTTTTTTTGTTTTGTTTTTTTTCTTAAGATTCCTAATGCTTGGAGCAAAGGTACGCAATAAAATTCTGTGGACGCTACAACTCAAACCTGCACAATGTTACTGTCAATTAATTGTATCTCAATAAAACAAGCAAGACATTTGTTGAGATAAAACTAAACTTACAGTGCCTAGATCACAGAGAAAACTGGGTCACAGAGCAATTGTTAAAATCAACAAAGCTGAGAGTTTCTTTTTCTAAAAATACTAAGACAGTCATACTATAATTCTCACAAATAGCTTGTATTTTTTAAAGATAACTATTTTAAAATCTTTACTGTGAGAGCATATTCTGGCTGAACATACATTTAAATGTTTCACATAAAACAATTCTAATAAAACAACTCTAATGTACTCCTTTCTATCAGTGCTATAATTCCTGCTTATATATAAAAAAAAATGATCAGAAAGGCACATGGGTTAATGAACAGGTCCCACAGAACTATTATATACAGTGAAGATACAACGTACAGAATCTTCCAAAAAGACAATGATCTGTCTCTGTGAAGACTGCACATATGTTTGTATGTGTGAGTATCCACATGCGCACGTGTCATATGGTATATAGAGGGACAAGTCAAATCAACTTTATATACTTTTTTGCTGAAATCAGAGCATATCAATGGAGATATGCTTATTATTTCCCGATGGCCATTGCAATGCCATCAAAACAGCTATTAGCACATAACACCACCAGCCCTGCTCTAGCTTCAACTTTTATTTTCAGGGGCACCTGGGTGGCTCAGTCAGTTAAGCATCTGACTTTGGCCTAGGTCATGATTTGCAGTTCTTGAGTTCAAGCCCCGCGTTGGGCTCTGTGCTGCCAGCTCAAAGGCTGGGGCCTTTCTTTTCAGATTCTGTGTCTCCCTCTCTCTTCCCCTCCCCCACTCACGCTCTATCTCTCTCTCGCGCTCTCAAAAATAAATATTAAAAAAAAATTATTTTCAGATTATTAGCAATAAAAGAAAACAACCTTCATGTTTCAAATGTGCACAGCTATCATGGCTTTTAATCATAAACAAAAGTGGTTAGCATTTGGAGATATTATTTAAAAAAGGAAATGATAAATAGACGAAAATTTGCTCAACTTTTTAAACAAAAAATATGCTACAGTTGAATTTATAGAACTAAATAAGAAAACACACTAAACTTCTGTTTTAAATGAGTTTCAAAATTGAAGTGAAAACTTCTATTTGAAACTCATTTTTAGGTTTCTCTTTACAGTTAGCATACTACTTTTGCATTGCCCACAAAGTATTTCAAAGTGCCCCCAAATTATCCAGCCCACCTATGTCGTTTCCAGAGGAATAGCTTCCATGACTTTCTGTCTCCTCCAGAGACAGTATCTTGAATGACGCTAAAGGAGTAGAACCTGGCTGAGTAGAGATCATTCCTCTGAATCGTGTTACTGTCCATGTCCGGACATGATTATTATCTGCACACACTAGGAAAGAGAACATAAAAAAAGTTGTTAAATATAGATTATAAGAGCTCCAACAGGGGCGCCTGGGTGGCTCAGTTGGTTAAGCGTCCGATTTCAGCGCAGGTCATGATCTCACAGTCCGTGAGTTCAAGCCCCGCGTCGGGCTCTGGGCTGACAGCTCAGAGCCTGGAGCCTTCTTCAGATTCTGTGTCTCCCTCTCTCTCTGCCCCTTCCCTGCTCATGCTGTGTGTGTCTCTCTCTCAAAAATAAATAAAAACATTAAAAAAAATTAAAAAAAAAAAAAAGAGCACCAACAATATCACTGTTTTTGTGTGTAACTTTTTAAACTGTGATCTATATTAAATAGATCATAGCACGTTTTGAGTGGCAAATGACGTATTTTATCCTAAAATTACACTTAATCTGTACCTGGCCAACAAAAATGAAAGAACTGAATATAATTTACCTTGAGGCAAACATAAGGTATGTAAGTAAATCTATGGGTCCTTACAAAAGTAGCATGTAAAGTATAACTGGAGGAAATGTTTAAAAAAAAAATGCATGCAAGATAAAAGATGCTATTATTCTGTTCTGTGACTAAACTACAGAGTAAATGAGTTACCCAGCCTATTTTTCTTCAACCATAGAAACTGCTTCTGCTTATGTTACTTAAACATAAACAACCTAGATCAGGAGTTACTGAAAATTTATGGACACAAATTACATTTGTCAAAAAGCTTGTATCACCTACTCACAGTTATATTAAAGAAAATTAAGATAAAGTTAAGAACTATTTTATAGTTGCATTTAAGAACATACTCCAATTAGGTTTTTTTTTTAATGTAAATAATATTAAGTGGATACATATTAAGGTATTTCCTACCAAGTACCCTACCTATTGTTTCTTGATCTGAGGAACTACTCCTTTAGAAAATACAAACCAGCAATAGATATTGTTAATGCAAAAAAAAAAAAAAAAAAAAAAAAAAAAAAAAAAAAAAGTACTTTCGTGGCATGCCTTAACAAAAAAGTGTACTTTTTAATGGAAAAGTACAACTTATTCGGTTTTCAGAGAATGTGCTATTATTAGCAATGAGCTATGAACCCATCAGTAAGTACTAGGAAAGTATTCAAACTTTCTTATAGATACATCTTTCTCACTGGGTAAAATGCCACAGCTGCATATTTTAAACAAAACTTTACAAATTTAATTTTGACAAATAGCAATAAAAATTCAAAGTATATAGGTGTTACATTATCTAACAAAATTCTCCTATCTCAGGATGTCAGTTTCTGGTGAAAAAGGAGACATTTAGTTCTAGGCTGCTTTATCAGCTTCATGGAAAATAATTTCCTATTTCACTAATAAGGTTACTAGGATCCAGAAAAATACCTTAAAAAAAAAAAAGAAAACATCTTAAACACTTTTAGTTGACTCAATAGGCAATTTAGTTATTTTATTAAAAATAATCATTACAGTTTTAAGACATGAAAACTAACACTATAGGAAAAAGAATGTCATTACATTCATGTCAATATCCACCAGGTGGCAGAATGATGTAACGGAGTATACATAAAATACTCTACATTTGTAGCTCAACTGGACATTTTTCTTGACAAATTTATTTAAATTTTAAACCTACATGAAATATTTGATGTTAAATGCAGATTTTACGATGTAGTTCTTTGGCGTCTCATCCTGCAATAACATCGTCACCATCACAATAACAGCAATTACTACTAAGTGTGGTCATCACAATAGCCTTGCAAAACAGTCTTATCTTCTCACAGGATCAAATTACCTCATTTTACATAACATTTATTCAGCATCTTGTATGTGTCGAGAAGTATGCTAAGTGCTGAGAACAGAATAAACAAGCTTCTGCTGCTGTAAAACTTACATTCTAGAAGAGGGGGACAGATGATAAACAGGCAAAGAAATGATCAAGTGAAAAGTCCACAAAGAAAACAAATCGAGAGGAGATGATGACAGAGAAAGTGACCTGATAGAGGTCTGGCTAATTTAGGCTGGGTGGCCTCACTGAGAAGGTACTGGAAATGGGACCTGAATGACAGGACAGCTGCCAAACAAATATCTAGGGGCAAAACATTTCAACTAAAAAGAACGAGTGCAAAAGTTCTGCGGCATTTCTAAGAAATCGAAAGCCTTTAAAGGGTTAGGGTATTGTGAGCAATATGTGACATGAAGCATAGGGAGGAAAAGAGGCCTGAAAAGAAGACCCGTAACAGGAAGAACACTACTAGTTTATTTATAATACAGTAGGATACAGCAGGATACCGTAAGAAGCCACTGGGAGTCAGACATGGTTCACATTTTTAGAAGATCTTTCTGGATGCTATGTACCATAAAGAACATGTACCATAGAAAGGCAAGACAGACGGGCACCCGGGTGGCTCAGTCGGTTGGGCATCTGACTCTTGACTTTGGCTCAGGTCATGATCTCATGGTAAGTGGGACTGGGCCCCACGTCAGGCTTTGTGCTGACAGCATGGAGCCTGCTGGGATTCTCATTCTCCCTCCCTTTTCGCCCCTCCCCCATGTACCCACACACATGCTCTCTCTCTCTCAAAACAGATAAACATTTTAAGAAAAGGTGAGACAGAAACAGGCAAAACAACTCAGCTCCGTGATCTAGGGGAGAAATGATCTGAGCTACCAAGTTGGCAGCAATGGACACCGAATGGTCAGATTTGTGACGTAGGTTGAAGCAAAGCCAGAAGGACTTACAGACAGATTACACGTTTGTGTGGGTGAGAGAAAGGAAGGAATCAAAGGGGATTCTTGGGTTTTCAGCTTGACGAAATAAGCAGATGGTGATGTTGTGTACTAAGATGGCCTCTGAGAGAAAAATCAAAAGTGCCATTTACCCAGGTTAATTCTGACATGTCTCTGAAACACATGACCAGAGACAGGCACTGGACATACAAGCTTGGAACTGTGCGAATGGTCACAAGCGGACAGTCTAGCAGTCACTGGCATATAGATGATAACACTCAAATCTGCAGGAAAACTACAGACAAGGAAGAATGGAGAATCTAGGAAAGAGCTCTGAGGCAATCCAACACTTAGTCATTGGGCAAAAGAGGAGGAACCAGCAAAAGCATGAGAAAGACTCTTCAGTGAGGCAGGTGAGTTGGTTTATGAGAGCCTGAAGAGGAGACTGATTATTTCAGGGAGGCAGAATTATACTCAAAACAATCAGACTTTATACTCAAATAATTAGATATCAATAAAAACATACTCATCCACCCACACACCCACCCACCCATCCATCCATTCATGGACAACGTACTTTAGCTCCATTTAGTGTTTAATCAGACTGGAGATGAGTGAAAGATGCATCACCTTTTAATATTATGTAGTCTTCATATAAACAAACTTGATAGATGAAAATGATGCTTATAAAAAGTTTAAGTTAGGCAGGAACTGATCTACAAAAGATTTAATGTAAGAGCAAGCTCTACTGACACACCTGACTCAAAATTACATTAAAATGAAGCCTTTTTGAAATCATCATACACAATGAACCTCATCAATGGAATTTTACTGTGATCACTATGCTCTGTGTGTCACATATCTGCATCATTTTTAATACAGTATCTAATTAGTGTTTACATTAAAAAAAACTTTATGACTAAGAAACAACTCACAAAAATGTAATTCTCTTCAAGTAATCTCTTTATACATTTTACTAGTTTTTAATATTTTTAGAAAATGATCAACAAATACACACATATATCTACAACTTTAGCTTTAAATCTTAAGAAAATACAACCAAATTTACATAAAATTCATACTTGGAAAACTTCTCTATTCCATCTCAACAGGATTATAATAAATATTTTAAAATAAAATGTGCCATGAGAACAAAATATTAGAATAGAAAATAAATAAAAGATACGGTTAACTCTTTCCCAAATTCATATATAAATACATGTGTATATACACATTCTTTCCAATTGTAGGCGTGTGGGAAATTACCCACAAGGCAAGGCTGCACATGAAGCACACTCCTCGCCAGTACCTAAAATCACTTTACCTGATACAAGATGCTTCTCAGATAGCATGATTTTTGTAACAGGACTTCGATGAACTGTGAAAGTCTGAAAAAGCTGAGGGCCCGAGCCCACCGTCTCTGGGTGCTGAACAATCACTCGCACAGCTCCGGAGCTCGTACCGTAAGCAATCTCAATCCAGTTACCAGACACACCTGCACGAGGTCAGAAGTGGAAAGGCGGCGTATCAGATGATGACAGAAAGGGATAAAAGAGGCAGTGCTTTTCTGAGTCCCCAGATCCAGCTGAGCCCAGAAACCCTAAGACCTCTCTGACCAACTTTGAATCATGATTTCCTTTACAAGTCATTTCCTAACCCTCACTCCCAGATAAATCTGTTCAACCCTCCCCTGGACTGTATGTTATGCTCTAGCACAGCAACTGTAACAAACCAATTCGCTATTTCCAAGTCTATCTACCTCTATTAGTTACTGAGACAGACTGAATCACAGTCATCCTTACAGAGTGCCTGAGACACAGCAAGTCCTCAATAGATGTTTAAAGAGTTAGTAAATCTGACATGCTAAGAATACCACTGACGCAACACAGTATTCCTAAAGGAATATTCCATATTATTTCTAGTCTATTCATACTCTAGTCTAAGACCATGTTTTACTTATTTTAAATTTTTTTATTATTACTTTTTAAGTTTATTTACTTATTTTTATTTTTTTATATAATTTATTGTCAAATTGGTTTCCATACAACACCCAGTGCTCATCCCAACAGGCGCCCTCCTCAATGCCCATCACCCACTTTCCCCTTTCCCCCATCCCCCATCAACCCTCAGTTTGTTCTCAGTATTTAGGAGTCTCTTATGGTTTGCCTCCTTCCCTCTCTGTAACTTCTCCCCCTGGTCTTCTGTTAAGTTTCTCAGGATCCACCTATGAGTGAAAACATACAGTATCTGTCTTTCTCTGCCTGACTTATTTTTTTTTAATTTATTTTTTCAGGAAGAGAGAGAAAGAGACAGAAAAAGTGTGAGGAGGGGAGGGGCAGAGAGAGGGAAACACAGAATCTAAAGCAGCTCCAGGCTCTGAGCTGTCAACACAGAGCCCAACATGGGGCTAAACCCATGGACTGCGAGATCATGACCTGAGCTGAAGTCAGATGCTTAACTGACTGAGCCACCCAGGCGTTCCTACTTTAATTTTGCTATATTATTGAATCTTTCTTGAATAATCAAGTATATACTATTTAACAAATTCAAAATACTTAGCTCTGAAACAAATACACCCATTATATTTCTTACATCATACTTACTTACTACGGTGTCTCTTCTAATCACGTACAGCTCATCATGTGAAGTTCATCTGTGGCTTTTTTAAGTGAATGAATGAGTGAATGAATGAATGAATGAATGAATGTGTCCAGGGGCACCTGGGTGGCTCAGTCACTTAAGCATCTGACTCTTGATTTCAGCTCAGGTCATGATCTCATGGTTCATGAGTTTGAGCTCAACATCGGGCTCTGTACTGACAGCACAGAGGCTGCTTGGGCGTCTCTCTATCCATCTCTCTCTCTCTCTCTGCCCCTCCCCAATGTGCGCGTTCTCTCTCTCTCTCTCTCTCTCTCAAAATATATAAATAAGCATTAAAAAGGAAGAAAAAAAAAAGTGCCCAAACTCTACCACATATTTAAAGACAGAATGGAATTCAGTGAACTATGTACTTAAAAAGGTTCACAGAGAACTTCTTGGCTTTAGTAGTTATCCTTCCTGATTCACCCAAAAATATCTGAATCAAAAGAGAAAGAACATACCATAGGAAACACTTCTCATAACCTAAAAAGTGACTCCATTCTCCCCCTGCCATTGCAAAAGAAGTTTTCTCCTCCCTTTTTAATTAGATTTAAAAAATGTACATCTCATTCTAGAGCAGAGGTGAGCAAACTTTATGTGAAAGGCTAGATGGCAAATATTTTAAACTATGCATGCCATACAGTCTGTCATAATCATATAACTCTGTCAACTGTTGCCCAAAGCAGCCAATGCAATATGTAAGACCATCGATAAAAAGGGCAGTGTGCTGACCCATTTAGCATAACAGTTGAAATCCTACTATAATTTTAAATAAAATCATCTGCATAAATTAGAATATTTCACATTAAAGATAATGATTTCTTTCAATGAAGTCAATAAAATGATGATTTAACACAAATAACATTCAAATTTATTAACATTACTGGACACATGTTAATATTTCCTAGAATTCTTTTCATTTAAATTTTCAACTTTCCATTTATGTTTATCTTTCAATCTAGAATATAAAAATATAAAAAATATAATAAAAATCCTTAATTTACAGAACAGATTTGTTAATTTCATTGCAATGGCCTTTGAAAGATAATGAAAGCTATAGATACTAAACCTCCAAATAAAATGTCTTTTCCCATAACTTAAAATTTCCCAAGGGAACAAGACAATATCCACAAGAGATTAACAGTCTAAGAGCCTTCTTGCTTTCAGCTGAAAAAAACAAAAGCTTCTAATTTCAAAACAAAATAAGCTAGGGTAAATAGGAAGGTCAATATGCAAATTGTTTTGTTTTTAATAATTTTAGTCAATACTATTATGATATGACTTAAATATAATTCAGAAGAAGAAAAGTTCTAACTTCCCACCTCAACTTATGCTTGTTTAATCGTCACATTTAACTTTAATATATAACGAATATGAACTGTAAACTAATAGAGATGATACTCTTAGAACTGCAGTTCTCAAAGAGAAAGGACTGGATTCGTTTTAGCATAATAAACCAATAAATAAACATAAATTCTCAGAAACGGTCAAGAATTTATCAGAACGCTGCCATGTACTAACTTGTTTTGGGTGTGAGGTAAACACTCAGCGCAGTAATGGCATCATTTGAAGGATCGTGATAAAGCTCGGTTACAAGAAGATCATTATCTTTCATTCTCAAAGGAAACTTCTGCATATCTAAAAAAACCCAAAAATTTTAAATAATATTAAAATAGTGCATCTACTTAAAACTACAGAAGGCAATATTTTATTTTTAAAAACCGATATAAAACAGGACCAGGGTTAAATGCCCATAAGCTTACCGATGTAATATATTGATCCATTGTTACATCCCAACAGAAGGAATGAGCCAGCAGTGTCGTAACTGGTTATAGGGACAACATCTTGAACCTGATGTAGGAAGATTATTATTAGATGTTAAATATTAATAATTTGTATTTACTGCTCAATTTCCTTAAAAATTTGACACTTTTAACAATAGCAACGACAACAAAACTCACTAGGGGCGCTTGGCTCGCTATATCAGTAGCGTGGGTGACTCTTAATGTGGGTATTGTGAGTTTGAGCCCCACACTGGGTGTGGAGATTACTCAATGAAATTAAAAAAAACAAACCACTAATATCTAATTTAAATAGGGCTTAGAAAATTACTTTCTTTAGTTCCCACAGGGTACTGTGAAGAGCTGTCAATACAGGTCCTTTTAAAGCTTTTAAAAAAAAATGTATTTCCAAAGGCAGCACCGTCCTATCAGAATTCCCATGGATTATCTCTTTTCTCTGCAAGTGGTTGTGAGCTCACAGCACGCATTAAAGTTGAAGGCACATTCTGACCAGGTTCCTTCCTCCTTCTCTCTTCTATAGAAGAGATTAAATGGCCTGCCTAAATTCATGTAGTAAGGGACAGAACTAGAAAACAGACTGATCGCCAAATAGCACTTGCTCCCTTGATAATTTATCACCATGTCTTTGACAAAATGGTAATCTCTATCTTCATTCTGCTGTAGACCCCTGTTTCCTAGGAAATGGCAGGACAAAAAAATTCCTTTAAGTTTTTGTGTTTTCAAGTACTAGAATAAAAAAGTCAGCTTCCCGAGCAAATCAGTCTAGTTAAAAATTAATAACTGCCTGTATTTGTGCTACAAGAAAAGCAAAGGGCACAATTTTACTAGAAAACAAAGCAACAAACAAAAAATGTTTTTTAGAGCAGTGGCAATAAGATCAAAATGAATCTTCCCTATGCATAGCCAGGTGAGAGTCACATGAAACTTCACAGATGACATTTAAATGAACTATTTCTCACGTATCAGGTATTACCCGAGAGAAAGAGTAACTGGGCTGGATAAGGGATGTGAGACATCACTTGCTCTGTAAGAGCTTGTAAACTTGAGGGCAAGAAAGGAAAAAAAGAAAATCACAGTGTGAGAGGCCCTAAAATAGAGTGTGCTACACCAGAGAGCAGGGAGGACTCTCATCTCAATCCCAGGGAGGGGTTTAAAAGGGCAAAGATCAGGGAAAAGTTCAGAAAGGGAGCGAAGCATGAAAATCGAAAAAGTCAAATATGAGTTAGGTAGAGGAAGGGCCATGTCAAACAGAACAGCAAGTATAAAAGTGTACAATATGGGTCCCTTCTAAATAAAAGGAACAAATTTAACCAAATGCTAAAAGTTGGAAGCAATGATTCCTCCTCTAAAGCTGCATGCACATGACCCTAATTCCTGTGTGAACCTTCTGGTGTCGTACAGGGAAATATCTCAAAGACTCAATTACCATCCCCCCACCCCCACCCCTGCACTAACCTCAGGTCAGGGTTTCCGTTTCATCAGAGCCAATGAGTTTTGTAGCAGGTAAACCCTGAGAGCCTTTCAGTGATATGAGTAAAGGTGTCTGAAGAATGGAGGGAAGGCTGCTTTAACGCCAATGACCAGTTTTCTCATGCCAAGTTCATTTTTTTTAGTTCCAATACTCTAGGAAGAACTTCAACTCCTACTCCAGAATCTTGAGAGTAGGGGGATGGGGACAGATAAGGGCATGAGACTCCTCTCCTTTTAGATCCCTTATCAATGAAAGAGTGGCTGCAGCCTGGAGCGTCCCAACACACATCCAAGACAAACATTTCTACCATTGGTTCTCTGGGAAGATAGGCTCTAAGACCAGAACCTTCTACAACCTCTTTTTCTACAACCCTTGACCTAAATCCTGCTTTTCCTTCATGTCTACCCCTCAGTACAAGAAGAACAGAGAAAGCAGAGGATGATAAATTATAGAGGAGTTAGGACTGAGTTCTTCTCTCCTAGCATAAGTGAGAGACAGTCATTCTGGGGCCTCTTCTTCTTTATCCTAACAACTTCACATCAAGAACCTGAGAAATCGTACTGATTAATGTATTTGGTTCAGACATGATGGTCACAGATCTACAATGGAAGTGGATTTTCTCTTCTAAGGTAGCACATGATGATTATCATTATCTCTATGTACAAAATTAAATGATATACAATTTGAAAATAATCAGTATAAAAAAAAAAAATCAATCTGTGTTCCCAAGCACTACAAAGGCCCTAGAATCTTTCAACCACAATCTCTACCTAGATAATCATCATTTTTAACACTATGTTTTTACCCTCATCCATTACTTATTAAATAATCACTTATTTAGATTTACCAGCCTATCAATTTCTTTGCTGATGTGTATTTCATTCCAGTGCTTCCCCTTCAAAGTATGAATATCCTTCTTATCAAAGGGCATTTCTTTAATGCCTCTTTCATTGAGGCACTAAAACAAACAAAAAAAAATTTTTCTTTTTTCTTACCCAAATCAGATACAATGCTTTTAGGAAATTTTCCTTAAAATCTTATTGCAGCTGTTATAAGAACTGCTACACCAACGAAAATTTCACAACAGCTTTTAGAACTTACACATGCGCGCACGCGCACACACGCGCACACACACACACACACTCTCTCTTTCTCTCTCTCTCTCACTCATCTGATTCAAATACTTCAAATCAACCTTGAATATACAACAGCTGTCCCACATACTTTGTGTGTTATTCGAGGGCAGAACTGTTGCTAAAGGCCAAATGAGAACCTACTCAACCATCATCACAGCACTCGGGTCAGCCTGGGGTCCGGTAACTGCCCAGGGATGTCTGCACCACAGACACTGAGACTTCATTACATGCCACCTCTACACTACAGTGAAGTTCACCTAGTTGGTTTACAAGGCTTGTATGCTGAATGCTCAACTTTCCCAAGGTCTTCCTGAAATGTAGAAACAAACCCTCTTTGTCGGATACTGTTTTCAATTCATGCGTACACCAAACGAGAATCATCAGGTTTTACATGGGAATAAAAGCTTTAGAATAAAGGGCACTTTGAGGAAGCCGGCAGAGTTTTCAGGATCCCAAAGATATGAACACTTTTATATGTAGTTTTAGAAACATTGGTTTAAAAAAAGAATAAAGAAGTATGTTCCTTTAGGAACCCAAATTTATGGCACAGCTAGTATAGCTTCCCCTACCCACTAAAAGCTCAGATTTGACATAATTTGTCAAATAACCTATCTGAAAGCAGACCTTCCGTTAATCATTAAAAATTCACATTCCTCTTTACAGAGGTATCACTTCCTGTCTTCCCAACAATTCTCACTCCTTACTAATCATCAGTCGGCTTTAACATCCCTCGAGTCCCTTGACATCCCTGCTTCCTTCTCCGTCCACCTGGCACTTCCCTACTTCTTGATCTCATGATTTCAACTACTTTGCCATCTTTATGTTTTCTCATCCCTTGGTGTGTCATATCCACTTTATTAACTCTCCAATCCTGGATCAGGCTAATGCTGGTTTCTTTCCTCTTGCTCCTATTTATTCCCAGTACTGAGCACTAATGGAGACACTCACATAGTTCTATCACCCAGGTCCACTACAAATGTACAAATTACAATCTCTGCAATCCTCGATACATACTTCCAGTGCCTTTGTCTTCCACTGAATTTATGTTCTTCAATCCTCTTTCCTTACTCTTTCATCAGAGAAGGAGGCATCTCTAGTTTCTGTTGGGTGAAAGTCTCTAAGCTGTTTTACATCTCATACATTCTTGACTTCGATGGGATGAGAGATCATCTCCATTCTTTCATCCTCCATGTGCTTTCTCAGACAACTTCCCTCTGACTACAACCATGCTCAAGCTTCTCTAATCTTAAGAGAAAAAAAACAAAACACTGAACATCTTTTCTACCACCCAGCCTTGATTCTCATGCTATCACTTTGTCTCCTTGCTTTCCTTCACCACCAAACTTCTTGAAAGCTAACTCTGAGTTTGCTGTGTCCAATCCCTGGTCTTTTGATTCTTCAGTTCCCACAATCTGGCTTGCGCCAAACAAAACCTAATTAACTTATATTTACAAATCATATCCTAGACTAATGTTATTTCTCAATCATGTATGTTCCTGTGGCTCTTGGTTTCCTTATCTTGTCCCCTTAAATGCTAATGTTTCCCAGACTTCTTTTTCTTCCTATGTACATCCTCTCAACAGAAAACCTTAAATCAGTTCTTACTTTTTCAGTTGTCATAGAAGCATTGTGGTTTCTAAATACTACTTTCTAGCCCTTTCTTCCTTCCTAAATTCCAAAGGAATGCTCCCAAATGTGTACTGCACACATTCATTTTGATGCCTACAGGAATCTCAGAGTAAACATGTTCCCTGTCAACTTATTACTATCCACCCGACTGTCAAAACTAGCAATCCAAAACTGGAAATACATCTCCCTCTCCTTTAATTTTCCACACCCAAACCAGACACCAATCCTGTACGTTTAGGAAGGCTTATGAAATGTTTTTCAAATAGGCTCATCTTTGCCATCTCTACCATCACTGCCTTTCGTCAAATCTGTCTGCTTCTTTGCTGGATTACCCCTGATCTCCAGCCCTGCTTTCATAGTAGTTAATGCTGCTACCTTCCTAAAACAGGGATCTAATCATGTTACTCTCTACTTAAGTCCTTTAATTTTTCTTCTCTCCTTCAGAATCAAGCATTAACTCTTTTATAGTCTTATCCTCTTGTTCCTCTCAAGTACTTGAGATCATTTAGCTTGCTATCTTCTCTGAACAGGCTACGTATTTTCACAAAGTTCTGAGCTTTACTCAGGAAATGAAGTTTGCCTGGACTACTATTCCCAAAGCATGTTAAGTTAAAACATTTCAAAAATATGAAACACCAAACCACAGTTTAAATACTCACTCATTTTCCCAAGTAACTAAACATTCTTCAAAACATAATCAAATCTGTATCTAGAAGTAAATGTCACTATAAATATACGTAATATTTTATGTAATCAAAAATAAAAACAAAAAAAATGGGTAGAGGATTTGAATAGGCAGTTCTCCAAAGACATACAGATGGCCAACAGGTGCATGAAAGCATGCTCAGTATCACTCATCGTCAGGGAAATGCAAATCAGAACCACAATGAGTTATCACCTCACACCTGTTAGAATAGCTATTATCAAAAAACAAGAAGTAACAAGTGTTGGCAAGGATGTGGAGAAAAGGGATCTCTCGTGCACTGTTGGTCAGAAGGTAAACTGTTACAGCCACTATAGAAAATAGTAGGAAGGTTTCTCAAAAAATTAAAAATAGAACTATCATAGGATCCAGCAATTCCACTGCAGGGTAGATATCTGAAGTAAACAAAAACACTAACTCAAAAAGATATAGGTACCACCATATTCCCTACAGCATTATTTAAAATAGCCAAGATATGGAAACAATGTAAGTGTCCATCCATGGATGGAGAGATAAAGATGTAAATACACATTGGAATATTACTCAACCACAAAAGAAAGAAAGAAAGAAAGAAAGAAAGAAAGAAAGAAAGAAAGAAAGAAAGAAAGAAGAAAACATTGTCATTTACAATAATGTGGATGGACCTTGAGGGCATTATGTTAAATGAAAAAAATCAGACCAAGAAAGACAAATTCCTATGATTTCACTTATGTGGAACCTAGAAACAAACAAACAAACAAAACAAAACCAAAAGATAAAAGGTAAGGGGCGCCTGGGTGGCTCAGTTGGTTAAGTTTCCAACTCTTGATTTCCACTCAGGTCATGATCTCAGTTCAGTTCTAAACCCTGGTTCAGTTCTAGCCCCTTGTCCAGCTCTGCACTGATAATGCAGAGCTTGCTTAGGATTCTCTCTCTCTCTCTCTCTCTCTCTCTCTCCCTCCCTCCCTCCCTCCCCCTCTCTCTCTCTTCTCTCTCTCTCTCTCTGTCCCTCCCCACTCACGCTCTCTCATTCTCTCTCAAAATAAACTTTTAAAAAATCTAAAATATATATAAACACACACACACACACACATATATAATAACATTTTTTTTAAAGATTTAAAAAAAAAAAAAAAGTGAGGGCCTGGCCAGCTCAGTCCTTAGAGCATGCAACTCTTGATCTCAGGGTTGTGAGTTCAAGCCCCACATTGGGCGTAGAGCCTACTTAAACAAAAATACAAAGATACAAACTTCCAGTTATAAAATAAGTCAAGGGAATGTAATGTACAGCATAGCAGCTATAGTTTATACTACATCGCACATCTGAAAGTTGCTAAGAGTTTATCTTTTAAAATTCTTGAAACAAGAAAGAAATTCTGTAACTGCATTTGGTGAAAGATGTTAAACTAGGCTTACTGTGACCATTCTGCAATATACACGAATATCTAATCATTATGCTATGAATTCCACACTATGAAGTCCACAAAAATGAAGCAAATGCATAATCAGCATAAGTTTCAGAAACATTTTCTGTAATGTGCTTTAGTTAAAACTAACCTGCCAGTGCTGAGTGACGGCATTCCATACTCCCACTTTCCCTGTATGACTCGTAGCCACCAACTGGTTACCGATAAAGAAGAGAGCATCTACAGGAACACCAAGGCTGAACACTCCTTAAATGATAATAAAAAATAAAGAGTTAAATAGTCACTATCTTTAGAATTCATCAAAACCCAGATTAGAAACATCTTCAAGGTGACTAAATGTGTTCTCATTTCCATAAGTTATATGTTAGACCCTTTAGGGATCAAAAACAAGAAACTTGGTAAGCTCATAAGCAGCTGCCCTAAGTAACCTTACCCTAAAACACCGTATTATCTAAAGCTGTGGTTCCCACACTTGGTTGACCATCAAAATAACCAGGTAAATTTAAAGCGAACAAAATGACGAGGCACCTGGGTGGCTCAGTTGAGCATTTGACTTTGGCTCAGGTCATGATCTCAGGGTTCATGAGTTTGGGCCCCGCATCAGGCTCTGTGCTGACAGCTCAGAGCCTGGAGCCTGCTTGGGATTCTGTGTCTCCCTCTCTCTGCCCCTCCCCCACACGCGCTCTGTCTCTCTCTGCCTCTCAAAAATAAAGAAAACTAATTAAAAAAAAATTTTTTTTAAGTGAACAAAATAAAAAGAATCCTAAGATTCATCCCAGACTCGCTAAATCAGAAAACCCACTACACCTTTATAAAACCTGAGATTTAGCTACAGCTTGCTAATGACTGGGGTATTTGGGAACCACTGATCTCAAGACAGAGACTTGGCAGCCTTAACTATCTAAGAACATGTCCAGAAATCTGGATACACACACGCGCGTGCACACACACACACACACACACACACGCGCACACACAAAGAAAAAAAGGCAGCAAGAAATCTTACTAAAAACATTCAAGCCTTTACTCAAATTATTTTAAACTCCTTGTCTCTCAGCACTGCAGATCTCCATTTAATTCATTCAACAGGCATCCTATCAGGCCATAGGATGAAACACATGAACAGACAGGATATTACTGGGTACTTAAGGTTTAAAAGAGAAAAAATGCAAACAACCAATTATACCATAACACAACAATAACTAAAAGATGTGGATACACAGGATCAAGTAACGTCCAGAGGAATAAAGGGGGGGGGGGTGTTAAGAAAAGAGGTTTGAAGATATTTTTTAGAAAAGAAGCCATCTGAGTTTTTTTTAAAGGTAAATAGTTCACCAAATGGTGGTGGGGCAGGGGGGATGGGCAAGCCCAGAGAATCAGAGAAAAGGGAAAGAGGGGATGTAGGAAGGGAGGCTGTAAGGAGCAAATATCCCACATCAATAGCAGAAGACCCAAGAATAGCTAAAAGAATTCTAGAATTCTAGGCTCACTTTGGTATGGCATTATGGCCCTTTACAGTCGTTTCTGGACAATATATAATAGAAAAACATGATGCATAAGGCTCTGAAGAACTCATGGGAAGAAACAAACCAATTAACTGCAATTGCAGCGTGTACTGAAAGCATAATCCAGAAAAGGTAACTGATTTCTTTTGACTCTTACACCAGTGCACAGTATTTCCCTTTCTGTTCAGAACTGTGAACTACATACAAGACAAGACCAGCAGCAATAAATGCCTTGAAAATTCTTAACCAGGAGCACCTGGCTGGTTCAGTTGGTGGAGCGTGCAACCTCTTTATTTTTCATAAAAATGTAAAAATATTTTTAAGTAATCTCTCCACCCAACGAAGAGCTCAAACCCAAAACCCCAAGATCAGGAGTTGCACGCTCCACTGACTGAACCAGCCAGGCAGTCCAAAAATAAATCTTCAAAAAAAATTTCTCAACTAATTTTGAAAAAGTCAGGCACCTAGGAGGAAAAATGATTTACACTGGACAAAAAGAAAAAAAAGTGGTAAGTATTGCTAAGAATGTCATATATATGTGTATATATATATGTATACATATACATATATATAATCTATATGTATAAATACATATACACATGAATACACCACCTCAACCAAACCTGTCAACCAAAAACAAAAAAAAAACCAAAAAACAAAAACCCAGCAAAATAAAATACAACACACATACCCAAAAACCTGCCACTCCAGAGCAGAAAATCATCACCTCAAACACAATTTTAGGAAGTCCTTTAATTTTGACGCAAAACAATTGTTCAGAACATGTGAAACCAAGCATATTCAGTACTATGGGCCGCGTTAAAGGTGGAAATAAAAACTAGAAAACCAACTAACATCGATTACTCTAGAGAAGGATGAAATCAAGGGAAATCAAGGAAGACATTCTGAATGATCTCAAGAAACTCAAAGTGTCACTCCTGCTTAGGCTCAACAATCTCGGCTACTATCCACAGGGAAGACACACTACAAGTAATGACAAGTTCCTGTCTTCGGGGACCCTTTCAGCAAAATACTGCTTATAGCAGCAATCCAGCAGCACCGTCTTATACAAGTTAAGATGAAAGGAGCCCGACCTCTAGAAGAGCTCTATCCCAGACAAACCAGCCAAACAATTTTCTTTGGACGGTGTTGTCAAGTTTGAAGAACATCTGTAATAATAAGTGGTTTCTTTCACTGGACATGAACAAATTACCACGTACCGTCTCCCAGCACAGCTCCCTACCACACTGGCCTCTGAAAGCAAAGGAAGGCCTGAAATCTCCACTCACTGCCGTGTTACAAGCGCCTGCTTGAAAAAAGGAGTGGGGGAGGGGAGAGAAAACACAACTTAACTTTCTCTCCGTACAATTACCAGCGTATCATAATTTCAAAGTTGTAACGTTAAAACTTTTTCCCTACAGTTGTTAGGGAGGACTCCCACTGCCAGCCATGATGGCATACACACGGCATCGGATTTTTCCTCACCGTGAAGCGACAACGGGCCACAACACACGAGGCAGCTGTGTTCCGGCACCGGACAACGGGTAGCTGAAGACGCAAAGGTGGGAAATAGCCAGGAGCCCCGCATTCACCTGGCTTTCGGCGTTCAGGGCGCTTTACTGGCCCTACCACAGGGAGGTCAAACTCACGGGCAGAGTGACGGCTTCTCCCTGAACTGAAGAGACTGAGGTAGAGCGCACAGCTGATGAGGTGGCTAGAACCTGAGAGCAAAAGTGGTAAGAAAAAGGCACGCCAGGGTGAGTGAGCCGGCGGCACAGAAGGTTTGCACACGGGTTTCCTACCCATTGGCAGAGGCCGGACTGCACCTGGGCAGAGGAAAAATCCCCCAAAAACAGAAGAGAAAGGCTGCTACAGGCCTGAGTGCAGAGTACAGGTGACAGAGGTTACATGGATGGTTCCAGCTCAGGAAGAGTGGAGAACCCTGGATGAACACCTCAGACATTCCTTCCGTAAAGACTCCAGAAAAGGCAACACTTTAGGAATAAGGACCACTCCCCTGAATAGGAGCCAAGCCTTTAAATAAAAAAATCAAGCAGAGCGAGGCTAACTACCCTTAACAGAGCACAAAAACAAGGCCAGCAGGATCAAGAAGATCCTCCAGTAATTTAACTGTCTACCAGGACTAACCTCACATCTTCTAAGAGAGAACATAATCATATCCCCTATATGATGTATCATGCACATGCCCTGCATACAGTCAAAACTTCCTAGACGTGCAAAGTAGAATAGGGCCTGAAATAAAAATATGAGATGATCCAGATACTGGAATTAAAGTCAAAAAATAACGAAACACCTATAATGAATATGCTGGATTTAATAAAAAGTAGAACATCATTAAGTAAAAAGGTTAAGAAATCTCAGCAGAAAAACAAACTAAAATGGAATCAAAAGAGGTCATTTTGCAGCTTAAAAGTCCAATATCGCAAATAAAAAACTTACTAGATGGGCTTAACTGAAGAAAATGGGTAAATAATATTAAAGGCATAAAAAAAACTGATCTAAATTGTTTTAAAAATGGGGAGAAAAATGAAACAAACCAACATTGCTTCAGTGATCTCTAGACCAATATGAAGTAGTCTAATACAAAGCTGAGTTCCAAAAAGAAGACAAAAGGAGAGGAGAAAGAGATAATGGAGAGGGGAAGGGAGGGAGGGAGGAAGAGAGAGGGATACACACAAAGAACTCCCTTAGCTGTGTCAATCAAAAATGTCTCCAGACATTTCCACATGCCTCCTAGGTGATAATATTCCTGGCTGCAAACCTCTAATCCGGAATATATAAAGAACTATCACAAATCAATAATAGAATGACAACCTCATAAAAAGAGAACTTTTTTTTTTTTTTTAGTTTATTTATTTTGAGAGACACAGAGAGCATGAGCAGGCAAGGGGCAGAGAAAGAGGGAGAATCTCAAACAGGCTCTGAGCTGTCAGCACAGAAGCGACACAGGGCTCGAACTCACGAAACTGTGAGATCACGACCTGAGCGAAAGTCAGCCGCTTAACCGACTGAGCCACCCAGATGCCCCAAACAATTATTTTTTTTTAATTTAATTTTATTTTTTGAGAGAGAGACAGAGAGTGCATGCACAAGCGAGGAAGAGGGGCAGAGGGAGGAGAGAGAACACCAAGCATATTCTACGCTTAGCGCAGAGCCTAACCACGAGGGGCTGGATCCCACAACCCTGGGATCTTGACGTGAACCGAATCGAATGCTCAACCAAGCCACCCGGGTGCCCTGAGAAAATGATTTAAAGACACATCCCAAAAGAAATAATATAAATGGCCAATAAAGCACATGAAAGAGATACTCAGTATCATTAATCCACAGCGAAATGCAATTAAAACCACCATTAAAATCACTGTATAATACTCCTCTCATACACTGCTAGCAGAAATGTAAAATAATACAACTGCTCTGGAAACCAGTTTGTAAGTGTCTTATAACATTAAGCTTTTTATATGACCCAGAAATTCCACTGCTAGGTTATTTACCTTGATTTACCTTGAGAAAACATATTCACTAAACAAAACAAAACAAGAGAAGAAAGAAAAGAAAACATGCCCAGAGAAAGACGACTTCTTGAATTTATAACACCTCTGAACTGGAAATAAACCAAATGTCCGTCAACAGATAAATGGATAAACAAATTCTAGGATACTCATTCAATGGACTACTACTCAGCAATAAAAAGGAACGGGCCACTGATACATACAACAA